GACCCTGAGAGATTTAGATTTACAAGGGATACAACTTTTGGTCGAAGGCACTTAAGCTTTTGGAGCCGCGCACCAGTCCTACTGTGGATAGTAAGTGCATTGAACTCCTCCATTGATTCTCTATTTCCTTTCATGCTTCAATCTGAGCACCCTTTAACATGACAGTTTCAACCGAATATAAGAAAAATGAGAGCATTGATGGCAAACTGGCAATTCACAAAATTGCAGGTCTGTTTCTTCAGGCAGTTCTTTACATCAGTTCCCAAAGTTGATTTCTTAACCCTACGCTATGGGTTCATTATTGTAAGCCTTTCAGATAATTAGCATCTTGTTCTTGTTGGGTTTTCTTTTTCTTACAATTATGTTAACTTTGACACATTTGATTTTCTTAGGCACATTTGGCACCCCAGAGTGAGACGAAATTTGATTTCCAGAAGTACATTAAGAGATCGCTTGAAGAAGATTTCAAAGTTGTCGTAGGAATCAAGTAAAGCTTTTAAGCTATTTATTTAATTCACTTGTTTGAAAGAAGCCATAGTAATTCTTTTCAAGACAATATGGTTGAATGGCTAGAAACTAGGCTAGCCAACTCTTTCAAATTTCATATCAGAATTTGATTCTAAATCCTGATTCTTTGAATCCTCAAGTTTAGCTGTGATAATTTATTTCACCTTTTAATTTAATTTTGTTTGATTAAAACATAGGTGTTAGTCCTCTTGGTAAACGTGGAACGTACTAACATTGCTTCTTCTGATGGCAGCCCAATCATCTGGTTCTTTGCAGTGTTATTCCTAATGTTCAACACCCATGGCAAGCCAACAATCCTCACCTAAATTATCTCCTTTTCTTTTATAGAAATCTTTCTTCATGCCAAATTCATGAATCAACAAAGATAGCAAAGTTACTACAATAAATCTATAATATATAGCTATCAGGATGTAATTAACCTTCTGACTTTTCTGGACATGGGACAGGCACCTACTCTTATTTATGGTTGCCTTTCCTCCCTCTGATTGTAAGCATCTCAGCAGCAACTTTATGTACTGAATTGTCAATTCCCTTTTGGTGATAATGTTAAATAATGGACATGGCTCTTAACAGATCATCCTGCTGGTGGGTACAAAGCTTCAAGTTGTGATAACTAATATGGGGCTGAGGATTCAAGAGAGAGGAGAGGTGGTGAAGGGGACTCCAGTGGTGCAGCCAGGGGATGACCACTTTTGGTTCAACCGTCCTCACCTCTTGCTCTACCTCATTCACTTTGTACTTTTCCAGGTGTTTCCTGTCTCCAGTTCAAATATGTAAAATGTCGTCTCAAATCAATGACAATATCTGATACTAATAATTACCCCTCGTTTCTGATTTTTAACAGAATGCGTTTCAACTAGCCTTCCTAGTATGGACATTGGTGAGCTATTAAGCATAGTCTTATTGCAAGTATTTGTCTTCTTCTTGTAACTTCTGTACAGTATATATACTCACCACACATCCTGCCTCCTCGTTTCCTCTTCTTTTATTTTTTGTTCCCTCTTGAAGTATGAGTTCGGCTTAAAATCTTGCTTCCATGAGAAGCGGGGAGATATAATCATCAGGATATCAATGGGGTAAGTTCATCCTTAACCATTTGAATACCTTTGCGTCTCTGTTCAAATTCTTCTTCCAATCTTCCTTAATAACAATCCTAGCTATGCCTTTGTTTGAACAGGATACTCATACAAATACTATGCAGCTATGTCACTCTTCCTCTATATGCATTGGTGACACAAGTGAAAATAATTGAAAATGTCATATAGAGAACTCTACATTGCTTGAACACAAGCATTTGTCTATGTTCAAAAATGTTCAAGGTCTTTGCATTGCATTCAAACAGATGGGTTCAACCATGAAGCCTACCATCTTCAATGAGAGAATAGCAAATGCTCTACGGAACTGGCACCAGGAAGCTAAGAAACACATTAAACATAAGCGTCATTCAGGCACGATGACCCCATTTTCAAGCAGATCAGACACTCCATCAAGGGGTGTGACCCCTCTTCACCTCCTTCACAACTATAGAGGTGAAGCAGACAGTTCCCAAACATCACCAAGGAGGTCTAATTTTGGTAATGAAGGCTGGAAAATAGAAGGGCCTGATAGGGGCCATGTCCCAGAACAGAAACACAAAGCTACTAATAAAGTAGATAATCCTTCCCAACATGAAATCGAGAATGAACCTTATGATTTCTCATTTGATCAAAGAACAGGAAGGTGAAAACTACTTGTTTAGAGTTGTTATCCGGAAAAAACTCGAAACTAATTCTTTAAATTTAGCTCCCTCGAAGGCTTTTTCTACCAATAGTTTCCAATACAGCAATCGTCACAATGTATGAAATTTAAACTAATATTGAATGAGAATAGCAGAGGAGCCAACCCAATTTTCAAGCAACCTTCATTTTGTTTATAATAAACATTATTCAATCATTTGCTCTCTTTACGATCCAAAGAGTTCTAATGGAAATTCCATGGACATTTGTTTCAGAAAAACAGGCAAGACAGAAGCAGATAAGAGAAGATCACCAAACTTTTATTCCATACTTGGATTAACATCTTACAAATGCAACAAACCCAGATATCAAACATTAAAGAAAAAGAAAAAGAAAACACTTCCTTATTATGGCAATATCTTAAACTTAGAACAAAGGCAAATCCTTTCTTTTAGAGTAATCACTGCCCACCACGGAGACGAAGAACAAGGTGAAGGGTAGACTCTTTCTGAATGTTATAATCAGCTAAAGTCCTCCCATCCTCCAATTGTTTCCCGGCAAAGATAAGCCTTTGCTGATCTGGGGGGATTCCTTCCTTATCCTGAATCTTTGCCTTGACGTTATCGATTGTATCCGAACTTTCCACCTCCAAGGTGATTGTTTTTCCAGTCAAGGTCTTGACAAAAATCTGCATTCCTCCACGAAGCCTCAAAACAAGATGAAGGGTTGATTCCTTTTGTATGTTGTAATCAGCCAAGGTCCTCCCGTCCTCAAGCTGCTTCCCGGCGAAGATCAAACGTTGTTGGTCTGGTGGGATCCCTTCCTTATCTTGGATCTTGGCCTTAACGTTATCAATCGTGTCCGAGCTCTCGACCTCCAAGGTTATTGTCTTTCCTGTCAAGGTTTTGACAAAGATTTGCATGCCCCCACGAAGCCTGAGGACAAGGTGGAGAGTTGACTCCTTTTGGATGTTATAATCAGCCAAAGTACGGCCGTCCTCCAGCTGTTTCCCGGCGAAGATGAGCCGCTGTTGGTCGGGAGGGATGCCTTCCTTGTCCTGGATTTTGGCCTTGACGTTGTCAATCGTGTCGGAACTCTCGACTTCGAGGGTGATGGTTTTGCCGGTCAAAGTTTTGACGAAGATTTGCATACCGCCACGAAGACGGAGGACCAGGTGGAGAGTTGACTCCTTCTGGATGTTATAATCCGCCAAGGTACGACCGTCTTCGAGCTGTTTCCCGGCGAAGATGAGCCTTTGCTGGTCGGGTGGGATCCCTTCCTTGTCTTGGATCTTGGCCTTAACGTTGTCGATGGTGTCGGAACTCTCGACCTCGAGAGTTATGGTCTTGCCGGTCAGGGTTTTCACGAAGATCTGCATCTTCTAAAAAGCTATGAGAATAATCTGAGGAAATGCTTTGAGAAAGATTTTGATTAGCTCTGGTTGGATGCGAGATAACACGGGCGGAGAGGGGAATTTATATAGGAGAAGGAGAAGAGGTGACCGACTCGTATAGGTTTTCTTACTTCCAAAGGAAGGTCCGCAGAAAGCGACGAAGTTGCGGTCAGACGAGTCGGCGCAACCTTAGCCACTTGTTACTGGTTGGTTATTTAATTAGCCAATCATCACCTCACGGCTGACTCACGCAACCCCGAATATTTTATTCCAGAACTTTCTGCTCACTCTTTATTCCCATTTCCTACGAAGTTGCCGCACGGCTTTTAATCACAAATGAGATGTTCCATTTTAATCCATTTATTCTAATTTTGATTGATTTAAACCTTAAATTCTAAACATATGTATAATTGAAGACAATAAATAATATTGTGATTAAAAACCGTTAATTGCGATGATTAGATAATTATCTGAATTTAATCTCATGCTTAAAATTATTCTGATTAGATAATTTATACTTCTTTTTACATATTTTATTTTTTAAACTGCATGCACGGATTTATACTTTTAAATTTTTTATTTTTTAAAAATGCATGAGGAAAATTCAAATGCCACAATATTATTGATTTCACGTGGGAGCATTGAGATTAAATTGAACTTGTGAGGTACTTGTACCAAATTGCCACAGCAATTCAAGAATTATAGATGGATGTTTGCCTTGTACGGGTACAAGGGTTGATTCCGGTTTTGGGTGAAGCTGCAAGGTGTAACTCCTTTGCCTAAAACCCAATGCTGGAGGGAGACCATGAATGTGAGCAAAGGGGAGACATTTCTCAAGCGGTGTATTCAAAGGGAAGGAAGAGTGCATTGCATCCTTTTTCTTCCGTTTTAGGTTGCCTGCTGAATCTCACAAAGACTCACAATCCTTGCACAACTCGCAAGAAAAATTGGGGTAAAAACAACAAATGGATTGAAATTAATTTAACTTTTAAGGCTTCCACGAAATTGAGATGGATGCCAACATTTCCTTTTTCGTTACAAATTTTCTCTAAACGATGTCTGTGATTTGTTTGAGCAACACTCTCATTATATATACAAGAATGATAAATGATAAAATGATAAAGCAGGGTACAAGCCATTATTTCTCCTTGGCATCATCCGCCAGAGCTGAAGCTTTGCAGATTGGACATGTATTCTTCATTGACAGCCACTTCTTGATACAGGGAACATGGTAATCATGCCCACATGTATTTAATGCCCCAACTTCATCCATGTCCTTGTACTCTTCCTGTCAATTACAAAGATTCTTGAGAATTTCTCAAATTCAACTAGCGCTTTCTGTTTTGAAATCAAAATATGTAGATGATCGGACAAGTGGGTTCATAGAAATGAGATAGCTAAGATTTTGGTCGCTAAGTTGCAGACAGTACTTGAAACATACCATATAATCCACAACACTTACGTTTCAAACAAATAAATTCTTACCAGGCAAATCACACAAGAGCTCTCATCCCGAAATTGACCTGAAGAGCAATAAATTGATTCGGTCAAACACTTAGATATCCAGTCTTCAGACAAGCCTGTGCTAACATTCCCGATCCTTTCCCCTAGTGCAAGTAGCTCCTGCCCAAGCAAATCATCCAAGGTCATTTAAAACAAAACACTAAGAATATAACACACTGTAGTAGATAACGGAAATACATACCTCGTAACTCATGTTGTCTATGTCTAACCTCATATCTCTATGCTGATCAAACATGTTTCTAGATCCATAAAAGGCTGAGCGGTCCACAATCATAAAACCCTGCAGAGTGAAAACGAATTATAACATTCAGCTAATGACTCGTTAAATCAGTGAAGTTAGTTGGCAAGCTAATATATAGTAAATGCTACTGAATAGGATTTTTCCTGTATCTCATTGGCAAAATACTTTATCTGAAGCATTTCACTACTTCAGAATCATCAAAAATAATAAAAAAAAATACTCACAGCCTGGTCATCAAACAGAAAATGCCACAATCATTCAACAAAGAAGAGTACTTATTAAGTGATAAAGTCAAAAAAGTGCACCAAAGTGAAACAATACAGCACTCTCAGAAGAAATGCAACATGCTGAAAGCTGTGTTGAATGAGTTTTCCAATTATTACTAGAGGACATGCAAGTCCACCTCAATTGCTAAGCAAGAACATAATTCCTTCAGCGGCAGTAAATACCTCAGATGAAAATCGGTCATGGAAAGCTGCATCATCAGCTAGAGATCTATATCTGTCATTAGATATCCTTGACCTCGCATTCCGCTCATTATTGCGCCATGTGATAGCTGATAATGGCCGAGGATGTCTGGAGGAATAAGTTTCAGCAGCAACCTGCACCCCCTCTTCTGAAGGTGCCACATGTCCTAAGCGCACACTGCTGGAAGAAGCCCTGAAAGTTGGGCTAGATCTCTGAGAATAGTTTGTGCGAACACCCCTTACAGATTGGGCTGAGTTGCCATTAAAACTCTGAGGAAGAACAGGATTTCTACCCGAAATGAAATCATGCTGAAGACCCCCAACCTCAGTAGAAGCAGTTGTAGCACTGCTACCACCCAGAAACTGGTTTGTCTCATGATTAAAAACACTTGAATCTGCAATTCAACAGCAAGACTCAGAAATGATGGGGAGATTCAAAACATGACATAGTGAAATGTCCAACTAACCTGAAGCTTGATTCCTTCCATGACTAGGAGACATTCTCAAATGGCCCCACTCCCACTCCCTTGACAAAGCATTAGAGCTCTGACCTGAGAGATCCACTGAGCTAGAATGGTCAACCGGGTGGCTTGCAGAGTAGGCAGTGTGTGAAGGATTGCTTGATAAATGGTCCTAACTAGGTTGGATTCGAGATCAAGTGCTGGACGGCTTCTCACGTTCCTCATAGAACCCTCACCCCTAATTGAGAGGCCCTTGCCTCCATAGCTCGAAGGCATGGCAACATGATCCCAATGCATGTGTTGAGTTTCTATATTTGGTTTTTCTTGCCAAAAGTCAGAAGATAGAGGAAGATCAGATGAACTTCCAGCACCAACATATCTGCTTGAACCACCCCTCTCACAGACTGAAGGGACTCCAGGGCTTTTTCGCTTGTGAGGTCCTCTTCCGCCACCCATTGTAAGATCAACAAAACCACCCTCAATTCCATGGAAAGTCTGCCTTCATAATTGGAAGAAGATGCATGATGCATGTAGTTTTCAGGGGCAGCACTAAATGCTACAGGTGGTGATGGATGCAGAAAAACATCATGAGATGGGCCTGAAGTGTCAGGTTGATAAGTGTGGTGCTTCAACATGTGGCTTGAGGAAGCATAACCACTTGATCTAGGCACAGGATTCCAATGGAGAGAAAAATGCACCCCTTCAACAGTCATATTTCTACAGGACAGAGAAGGAACCTGTTCTGTAGTGCTTGCCCTCACTGTGGAACAAAACAAGAAGAATTAATAGGCATCAGAACTATAGCTAGTACACAAACAGAGGATCCTATATAATGCAAAAGGCAGGCATAACCCAAAACCCAGGTCCAACTTTCTAGGTAGGAGAATATAATAGGTTTACCTGCCTTAAAACATTTTTTCATACTGTAAACACTATCTATTTGTCATCAACATCAACCTTATCTGCTTAGAATATAATTCAAAATTGAAGGCATTAAAATTACAATACCTAGATTTCCATAAGGTTGCTCTGTATGCATATGATTCCAGCTCTGCTCATGTTCACTCTCAAACATTTGGGATGTGCCAAATAAATGTCTATGCCCCATAATCAAGTCACCTAAAACCTAAAGATACGTTATATTCCAGATGGAAGAGTCAACCTGAAAAAAAAAAAAAAAAGAAGAGAATGGAGATGTTATTATAAATATTTAATGTCTAACAACAGGAAAAATGAAAAAAGGATGTATACAGCATTCCCCTTTCATTTTTACAAGCAACATACACTGATTTTACCACATTTCATTTCTTATTAAGAACTTCCACAAAAGTTCTAAAAGAAATCCACAATTCTAACACAAATACAATCATGTGTGAGATCTCATGTATCTGCTGCAAATGTGGTTCCATGTATTACATCTTTTAGTTGTATCATAAATTAGTTGTCACTAAGCAGAGATAGATGGAATATTAAGCTACCCATTTTGTGCTCCTAAAGCAAACTGCTTAATCCTTCTACAAGAGAAGACAGTTTTGCCATGCTATCAAAAATATAAAAGATATTATGTGACATGCACTATGGAAACGAGAACCATCACACACATATTGAGTAATAAATATCAAGCTTTTGGAAATCAAATAACAATATAAGTAAGCTTGCTATATACATCACACAGACATTCCAGTGCACATAAGGTCACCCAATACACATAAATGCACATGCACAAATTGTTACATGAAAAGGACATCAGTTAGAAATTTAACAACTACAAAATTTTATGCTTTGGCTAAATCAGAATTGTGCATAAACAGCCAAATCACTGGTGAGTTAATTCTTAGGAATTGGAGAAAAAGATGCTGAAGCAAAAGTGTTCAATGCTTAGGGTGCTTTTTGCAGTAGACTTTCGCAAATACAGGAAGTCAACAATCCTAACTACCCAGTTGCACACTATGGTCTTCTTATACACTGGCATGCTAGCCATAGTCCAGCCACATGCATTTATCTGCTTACCTATTGCCCCTCTCCACAAAGTTGGAGAGAGCATCCTTCATATTCTGGGCAAGAAACAAAGAAAAAGTGAAGGCAAGATAGAGAATACTAGATTAGTAATTAAATACAGACTTTAAATTGGATGCCAGTACTAACCCTATTACCCCACCGCGATAGAACTTCAGGTTCAGACTCGTAGAGGAAGCACTAGAAGCAGGATTACTCATCAGGACATCACCTGGAATTGTTTATAATTCATGGCAGACGTAAGGGACGATAATGGTCATCACTTAACCAACCATGGCTATAAAGTTTGTAAAGCCAAATTAACAGCAGAAGTATAAGGCCTTTCACTCCGGTCATGAAATTAGTAATCAAACCAAGATAATATGTAACTTCCTTCTTTCCTCCTTTTGGTTCAGTATAAGAATGGAAATTAATAAGTACGAAGGAACCTCCATGATATTGAACTTCCACTCTGTAAGGTGGGAACTGAAACCTATCTATGATGAAGATAAGTTAGAAGAATACAAAAGCATTGAGATAGCTTCCAAAGAAATGAAGATTTCAAATTTAAAGTATGCTGTAAATTTTAAGTAAAAAAGTTAATAAACATGGAATATGAATATATGTGGCAAAAGTACCCATGTTTTTAGCAGATCAAGCTTCCTCAAAGAAATTGAAGGAGAGAAATAGAAGAAGCTACAATTTTGAAATAAGTCATTATCATAAGGAGCTACAGTCAATTCCATAGGGATGTATAAATTGTTTCTTAAACAAGAGGAAAGTTAGTAATTAGATCATATGTTCACATACATGAAGTGGCGCATGAATTTCCATCACCTGTAATCGTGGCCAATCACATGCAGTCCGCTGTGATTACCGTTATTTTTACCCTCAAATACAATCATTGAAAGTGTACCCTTTACCAAAAGAAATTAAAAATATCATCCAAAATCCAATAATTTATATAAAACCACAAAAAAAGAAAAATAAGGAAATAATAAGAAAACAGGAAATTCCAGGATAAAATTACAAAGGTGACAGTCACCATCACTGATGTACAATCCTGTCCACCAAAAGCATATCTGGCTTTAATACGAAAGGTCTAGATTGATTCCTACGGTACCTTTTTATCATGAAACATTTGAAGTAGAGATGATCAGATGAAGTCGATACATAATTGTATCTCTTAGGAACATTATTGTGCCTCACAATGTATTTCTGAAAACTTCCAAGGTCAGAGGATTACGTGAGTACTAACAAATATATATATATATATATATATGTATATATATATTATGTACATTACTTAAAGTTGCCAGCCTCTTTGCCATAAGTTTAGTTACTTACAAGAAATCTGCCATCAATTTAAGGGCATGTTTCACAATCGTGGAAAGGTTCACCATGAAGCTTTAGTAATACAAATCAAGGGGACAACATTACCCTAGAAACACAGAAGCTTCAGGAACATGTGAATAAAACACTCCTTAAAACGAGGCGCGTAACAATAAGAAGAAAGCATAACAATCAATCACGAGATCTCACAAAACCAAACTCCAGTGATTTTCCTTCAATATTTAGAAGCAGAAAGACAAAAGTAGCCGCACAAAAGGTTTAACCAAAATTTAATAAGCATTCAGCTCTCCTGTCAAGAAAGTTCACTGCCTTGCATCTTGACAGTAACAAGCATAAGTGTTGGCTTACCTAAGTCACTACATCCAAGTATAAGTTGACCGTCCACCTCAATAAAATATGTGAACCTGAAGCCATCAGGCCTTTATATAGTCACTGGAACTCCAACGATGTTAGCATAATTTTCCCCTCCTCACAGGCACCTAGTCCCCACAAGCATAATTTCAACACCTAAATTTTTTCAAACCACTTAGGTGTGACAACATCCATCAATAAGCAAGAAAACACAATCCCAACTACTTGCCTATAGTCATCATCCAGGCATCCAATTTTCCACCATAAGTGGCCATATCTGATATGAAATCAATTAGCACCACCCAACAAGTCTCCAGAAATAGCATGTTTCAACGGTTGTGCAGCAGACGATACTAAGATCAATGTTCAGCAAAGCCATCACGATGCCCTACACCATAAATCAAACTTTCAGCAGAAACCGTAAATTGGATGACTATCAGAAACTGTCAAGGCCATGGAGATGCCCCCAGGACTCTTGGGGGTTCTTAGGTCATTACATCTTCTTAGAACTGCACACAAGAAGATACAAAAAAGATACTATTCTCAATTCCTTAATCTCAATGTCACTCCCTAAACCTCCTGTAACACTCTACACCAAGCCTCTAGCATGCTAACATAGAATGTCAAATATGATGAATTTAACATCATGGCACAACTATAATCTTAGCCTCTTTTATTTTTTGCTTTTAATCATTTTCAGTGCAATCTCCACTCTATGGAGGGGAACAACCCTGATGTCAAAGTGAATTCTGATGGAACAAGGTCTAAGAATTCCACAAATTGGAGTAGTAGCTCTAGTACCATTTAATTTGCTCTTCATGTATGAAAGCTGACTTATAACACTCCAAAATGAGTGCATGTGATTCTAATAAGAAGACACAGGAATCTTTTCTTCTTTTGCCCAATTGACCAAAGCTTTCCTGCAACACCATTTGCAATTCAGAAAATAGAAACAGGAAAGGCCACAACTAAGATATTTACCAACTCCAGTATCCTATGTATGGTTCATCCAAATGAATGCTTAACAAACTTCAAAAACTATTTGCAGCACATGATAAATGCCTGGGGAATTAAGATATGAAATATAACTGAAGATGAAGGTACCGCAAGATATAATGAGGAAGTGGAAGATGGAAAGTGAAGGGAAAAAAAAAACCAATTGGAGGACAGATATTGACACACTTCATCCAAAAGCTGACAGCTATAAGAAGTATCAATGTAGAGGTTCTAAACTACTTAAACAAATTGCTTAAAGAGAACAGAATAACAAAACTTCATACCTTCAGATGTGGACGTGCTATTGTTCCAAAACTTGCATACTAATTAGTGGTTATGCTCAAGGGCAAACTCAAGAAGTAGGGCAAGAACGAAACACCGAGTGCCTAACCTGCATAGAAAAACATCTAACCTAGTTGATGCTAAGGCAATCAAGAGAAAACTAGGTCCAATCCTATCTACTATAGCATCTTGTCCAACAGCAGTTATTGAACATGCTAGAATCTGCAACATGTAATTCAACTATGAACTGGCATCTGAACCACAACCAAAGAATGAAAGCCAATTTCTTACGTTACAGCAGCCCTAGGGAGGTAGCATTTTATGATAATCATTTTCTATTTCCTTCAAACCAACACTGACAACATCAATGTGCTGGACCAAAAACAGGAAATGTTAAGCTTATCACAGAAATCCATGCAAGGGAACAGGTGAGATTTGAGCGCAACACTGGGATCAAAACCCGAAAAGCAAATTAGTTAGGCACGATATAGGACATAATATGTGATAGAGCTCAATTCCGTTCCCTTCATTTTTTTGCATTGAACCGGATGCAGGACATGGGAAGAAAAATACCAAATGATATACCGGGTAACAATTTCACATGTCAAACACACCCATAGAAAAATATAAAAAATACGAAGTCTTGAATCAGTTTTAAAAACCTTTTCCTCACGATTCTCAGAACAAAAGGCAGAAAAAATTCAGTTGACTCTATGAAAACGGAACATTGAATTACTTTCTATAAACAGAGTTTAAATATAATAACACTAACAAAATCTCTTTCTTTAAGCTACAACAACCACGTCAAAATTAAAACTACTGATCATCGTTAAGTCAAGTCCCATCATCGGATGATCAACAACGAAATAACTCGAGCTGATGATGATCATAGCCATGATCACAATCGAAAAACCAATTTTGACGGCAAAAAAAAAAAATTTTCTTTTTTGAATATCTCTAAAAATACAGAATTTTAACAGAGAATCTAAGCATGATTAACAAGAAAACAAGACAAAAACACCACAGATTATACTGTACAATCAAGATCAAACATAAAAATAGCAAAACTAATCAAATAAACAATAATCAGACCTCAGATAAACAAAATTTTCATGATCAAAGTCGGTTCAAAAAATTAGCTAACAAAATTATCATGCAAAATAAAAGAAAAAAATTAAAGGAAAAAAAAAAGAGGAAAACGTACCTTGAAATTTTTTTTTGTTTGGATGAAAATCTGAGAGAAATCTATTAGAATGAGTTAATATAAACAGAGGAAGAAGAAAAATGGTTAAAGTTGTGTTTGGGAGAAGGAAGAAAGACAATGAAATAAAGCGGTTGGGTGCGTTTGTCTGCCTCTGTGCAGAAATAAGAGAAGGAGAAAATTTACCACCAAAAACTTTAAAGGACAAAATGGAAATGAGAACTAAAATTTTGGCTGCTTTATTTTTGGTCCCCGTAACGGGTTACCGACCCAAACTGCAAAAAGCTTTGCTAAAAAATAAAGAAGAAAAAGGGGTATTAGTCGCACTACCAAAGAAAATTAATAAATAATAATAATCTTTGTTCGCTTAACACGTAGTTCCTCTCTTTTTTTTTTTTGTTATTTCTTTATCTTGGTTTTTGTGTTTTTTAAAAAAAATATTGAATATAAATATTCATTATAAATATATAAATTTATTAGATTTAAGATTTTAAAATTTTTTTGAATTATTTAAAAAAATAAATGAATTCTTTTTTTATTATATTTATTTTTATTATCTATTATTAATTAAAATATTACTTATTATATTATATTTATATTTTTTTTCAAAAAAAATATATTATACCCATATGATCTTAACTTGAATAAAAATATTATGTATTCATGTGACCACGTTATTATTTATTATAATATATTAATATATTATATTAACGTTATGTGTCATAAAATAATAATTAATTAATAGTTAATTAATTATAAAATATTATTTAACGTAATAAATGAAAAAAATTATTTAAATTTTTTTAAATATTTTATCAATTTATTATTAAATTAAAGACTTATATATTCTAAATTTAATTTTTTTTAAATTTAAAAAATGAGAAATAAAGAAAATTCAAGGAATTGTAGCTAGGGCCCAAAGGAAATGAGACGTGCCTTTTGAGACCACCTAATGTACAATTCATTGATTTTAGATTAGACTTGTATGCTTAAAGGGGATGACCCTTTCATGGGTGGTTTAATTTTGGGTCACGAACTTTGATTTGAAGGTTTATTATTCTAATAATAAAAAAAATATATTTTATTTCATTTTAAATAGTCAAAAATCATAGATAAATATTTTTTATATGCATGATATATTTTGTAAGGATACCGTAAGATTCTTTTTTTAAAAAAATTCAAAGTTATAATTAAACCCCGTATTTAGGAATCGAGTGCTTATTATTTTTCTTTTTATTAATATTTTATATATAAAAAGAAAATGAAAATGCTTTTGTGTAGCTGCAATTTAGGGAATAGGATGGAGAACAAGACGTGAGAATATTGGCAACAATTGAGAAAGTAGTGTGTTTTCGTAGGGCCAACCTTGTGGATAGAAAAAGAATTTCACCTATCGAGATTGTGGCTGCTAATCAATGATAGACAAATACATAACCTTGAGAACATAAATTGTTTAATTGTACCCTTTAAAATAAATAAAAAAGGGACAATATTTCCCTGTTAAATAGATCCAAGATCTGTCAAGGAAAGGCCTTAAACTTTTTCACGTGGCAAAATAGTTGGATGTAGGCACGTCAACGTTATGACGGAGAATGGAGAACGTTGGCAAGATAAACTTTGTTTTAAGCTTTGAAGAAAATGGAAACCCACTGCAGCAAGAATCTATATTCATATAATTGCATGTGGAAAAAAAATAGACATATAAAAAATTATATCCAAATTTAATCTCTAATCTTGACTTCGTCTACTCACGTTTTCTTATTTTTTTTATTATTATAAACAAAAAATCAATTTAATTGATAAATTCATTAATTTTGAATAAATAATTTTTTATAAGTTATATCGATAATTTTTTTTAAATGTTCGAGTTTTATGGAATACAATCTTGCTATAATTTTGGAACTAAGCAATGTATCTGGTATTTATATTTTGTCAAACATTTAATTAAAGCTTAAAACCAAACTTAGTAAAAATTTTAGTTATAATAGTACTATCATAATCATTTATGTCAAGTTCATAAGTAGCTTTAATGAATGAATGGGCATGGACAACTCAACAACCATTGTACGTACCCAAAGCCAAAGTGCCCACTTGCCCCCTATATAGTCAATAACCCCAATAAGCACTTTGGTTTACTTTGGCAATTGAAATTTTGGTTTTTATTGACTTTATAACAAAATCAATGACTTGTCCATCACTTGTCCACATGAAGGGTGAAGAATATAAAATAAATGAATAAATTGGTATTTGTGTCAATGGATGTTTTAATTAATTTTGAGTTGGGTCGATGGCTTAAGATTTAAGCATAGTTAATTCCTTTTGGTGGTCCATTATGCAATCCCTTTACATATTGTCAATTTATATGTAAAAAATAATAAATAAATAAATAACAACTATTATCGTAATGGAATAGGGTTCGTTTGTTGAGAAAATATATAGTAAGGTAATGCTCTAATCTCGGGCATTTAACTGTATGCGTGTGAGGAGGGCAACTTCATCTCAAAAAATTGATTATAAAATAACTTGGTCTTGATTAAGATTAAGGCAACTAACATTATCTACCCCATTTTTTTGGTGTTCACCTTTTTTAAGATATGAATCTCACATTAATTTATTATGAAAGTAAAAAAGAAATTAAAATTAAACAAAAATAATTATAATAAGAGTTTATATTTGATACAATACCAGTTTAATTTTTTATATACATTATCAATCAATCACAAAATATCACTTCATTAATAAATAAAATAAAAAAATTTTAACCCTTAAAAATAAATATTAAAATTTTTTAATATTGAAATAAATGAAAAACAAAATTATTTGATCTTCTCTATAAAACTCTGTTACACCGGCTCTCTCAAACCCTCTCACATTCTTCTCTTACTACGCACAGCCATTACTTTCTTCCATTGATCTTCTATCCATAAATCTTTGGAGCTCACCACCTTACAATCAAACAAAACAAAACTCATTATTTCTTATGTTCTTTCATTGATTATCCACAAAAAATCTCTCAAAATCTTTATTTTTTTTATTTTTTTCATTGATATGGTGGTCTTATCACACTAAATCCAAAAATAAATAAATAATAGATCCATACAAATCCCATCAAAATACTAACATCACCATCAACAACAATAAAATCTTACCGAAAAATTCAAATGATTTAATTTTGATTTAATTAAATATTAAAAAATCATTAATATATTTTTAAAAGTTTAATTTTTTTCATTAATAATGTAACACTTCGCAATTGATATTCAATACAAAAATTGCGTATTATCAATATATCAAATATAAACTATTGTTCTATAAATAAAGTGAAAATATATAGTATGTTTAAACTATTCATGCTATCCTAGTAAGCGAAAAAGTTTTCAAATTAACTATTGAAAATTGGTCAAAAGACTTATCCAGTCTCTATACTTTTCAATTTTATTCAATTTAATTCATATATTTAAAATCAAAATAATTTAGTCTCTTAATTTTGAAAATTGTATCAATTCAATTACTTCTGCTAACGGTATCTAATTTTACTGTTAAATGATGACGTCAGCACTGATGTACCATATTTTTATGACGTGGCATATCACATGGCACTATACGATGATGTGGTAGTGCTGACATGGCATTTACATATTAGTGCCACATGTCAAATAAAAAAATTTTAAAAAAATTTTGCCAAGTCATTAAGATTAAATTGAACAAATTGAGATGTTAAGATACTAAATTAAAAAAATATTTAAAAATATAAAATTTTAAATAGATTATTGATATTCTTATTAATAAGTTAAATATTTAAGTATAAAATATTTATGGTATTAAAAAATATATTAAAATATTTTTTACTCTATTATTTGATTTTAAAATATATAAATTAATTTATCTTTTTTATAAATATTAAGTTTGAATTATCCTTTTACCAAAAAAAATTCATACTTAAAATCAAATTTAGATGAATAACTTGTATTATATTAAAATAAAATAATATAAAATGATTAAATAAAATTTTTTTCTTCTATTTATAATAGTATAAAAATTTGAAATTTATTTAACTTAGTTTTTAACTTGAACTAAAGTCAAATTAATAAAATATGTTGATTTAATTTTATTTTTTTTAAAAATGAAGAACGAAAATATAAAGTTAGCGATGATTATAAAAATAATTCTTCATTCTGATTTGTTTAATTTGGATATGACAAACCTCTTATTACAACTATAGAATCTAAGCTTCACCTTTTTAATTTTTTATGTTTTTATTTTGTTAATATTTCAAGTTATATTTTTTAAGTTGAAATTTCTTAGATTAAATACTGCATTTATGATTGATAAAGTTAAATATAAATGTAAATATTTGTACCATTTTATTTTATTAATAAATTTTTTGTAGATCTAAATTAATAATTTAAATTTAAATTTAGAAGAATTTGATTGTGGTATTTGAATTTAAATAAAATCAGTTTATAAGAAATTTTGAGTAAATTTAAATAAAAGGTAAATTGGATAAGAATTGAATAATTTCAAAATAATATGTATTTGTAAATTTTGAAAGTTGTAATTAAATCAACATATTTAGTTATTTTATATTATTTTGTTTTAACATAATGTAAGTTATTCATCTAAATTTAGTTGTAACTAAATTTTTTCAAAATTTTTTTTATTGAAGGAGAATTCAAACTTAATTTTTGTAAAAAAGATAAATTAATTTACATATTGTATAATCAAATATTTAAGTAAAAAAATATTTATATATTTTTAATATAATAAATCTTTTATACTTAAATATTTTATTTATTAATAAGCATATTAATAATGTACTTAAATATTTATATTTTTTAATTTTTTTTCAATTTAGTTCTTCAATATTTCAATTTTGTTCAATTTAGTATACTATATGTTTTTTATTAATTTAAGCTCTATGACATGATAGAATTTTTTTTTTAAAAAAAATTGATTTGTCATGTGACATTGACATATCAACATGTCAGTGCTACATAAACACTGTCACGTCATCGTATGGTGCAACGTGACATTACTACATCATCACTTTATGCCACATGGCATGCCATGTCATCATCTCAGCATTACGTTAGTACTGACGTCATATTTTAACGAAAAAATTAAATGTCGTTAAGGAGAATGACTAAATTGATGCAATTCTCAAAATCAATAAATTAAATTATTTCGATTTTAAATATATAAATTAAATTAAATAAAGTTAAAAAATACAAAAACTAAATAAATCTTTTTACCAATGGAAATTCTTCTTCTTCTTCTTTGATAGTAAAACGCAATAAAAGAAAAAAAATCATTAATTTCACCACGGCATGACGTTTGAATAATTGAAATTCACAATGCTAACCATAGATTTTTTTTTCATACTATATAAATTGACCAGTTGGGAATGTGTCTTGGTCATTTATGTATAGTTGTATATTTCAAATGAATTACTTTTATTATAAGCAACGTGAATTTCGTTTTCTAATTTTAACAAAACACACACTAAAGTTTGGATCATACTTTTAGTGTATGCATTTTATTTTAGTTATTTTTTTAAAATAAAAAAGAGGAAAAAATATTTTAATTTGATGATTTCTTAGTTAAAGAAATAAAATCAAAGAGATATAAATATGTAAATGTCATGAAATCATTAATCTCTCCTAAAAGGTTAACTTTATAAAGCATATAATGCTTATATTTATAAATTTTTCACGATTGTCTACTTGTTCAATGTAAAATTGAAGCATTATGTTCACTTCTTTTTTAAGTATTTGATGAAATATTATTTTTCATCCCAATTTGACTATTGCTTGGTTGTAGTTGACATATAGGTCGAATCTGCTTTGATATTAGTTTAGTATAAAACCGATACCCTCTCAAGTACTACACTTATTTTCAAAGCAAAATTATTTACAAAAGAGAGGAAAAAATAAAAATGAATAAATTTAAAATATAAATAATTCCAAAATAATATAGTAGTAACAAAATAAAAATAGCATAATGGTTAAATAAGTTTTAAATTATTTAAAAATATTCAAAAAAATTTATTTTGTTATTATATTTAATCAAGTTTTGATATTTTTATTTTGATTCAAATAAGCATTTATTATTGATGTTTACTTAATTATTATTAATAAAAATATTATTATCATTTTATATGCACATGGTATTGATATGACATTGATACAGAAAGTAAAAGAATCACATGATTATACTATCATATCCAATTAACATATTATATCATGATCAATTATGGTATTTTAATATAATATGACAGTATACAAACTAATTAATGATATTTTAACTAAGTTAATAATTAATAAAAAAAGTTTATTTGATTAAAAATGAAAGAGTATAAAGATTTATTTAATTTAAAATAAAAAAATTAATTGAAAGTAATAAAAATATAAAAATTTATTTAAATTTTTTTAAATAATTTAAGAATTGTTTTATATTATGCCCATAAAAATTTATACTTCCAATAAAAATATATAAATTCATTTTTTTTTAAAATCAAACACCGCCCGTTATTACCGCGAAAGTAAAATCTTAAAACCCCAAAGAAAAGAGGAAAAACAAAATTTCAAAACAGAGAAAAGGAAAAAAAGAACGCCTTACACTTACAGGCTGTAGTTTATTATGTTTCTGAAACCGTTTATTCTTTGAATCTGGAGTTGGTTCTCACACCAACATCAACGGAGGAAATAAACAGAAACAAAGAAAATCGAAATTTTTATTTTCTCTCCCAATTTTCTTTCCATCCAAACAGCTACATTGACTGATCTGTAAACTCAAAACAGGTCAGGAATAAAAATGAGTGTAATCGATATATTGACAAGAGTAGATGTGATCTGCAAGAAGTACGACAAATACGACGTCGAAAAGCAGCGAGACCAAAATGTTTCCGGCGACGATGCCTTTGCTCGCTCATACGCCGCCGTCGAAGGCGACATTGAATCTGCTCTTCAGGTAACTCTGATCTAATCTAATGGTTTAAGCTTATTTTTGTTGAGCTTTGTTAGGTTTAAGCTTGTTTTATTATTAGGTTAGTTGAGATTTAAGAGTGTCAGTCTTTTGATGCTTAATTGAGGGTTGTTCAGTAAGAGTGAGGGTTTTGTGCCTTTAATTTGAATTATATTTAATTTGTTTTGATTTAGAAAGCGGAGCTTGCTTCGAAGGAGAAAAGTAAGGCATCTGCTGTTGCAGTGAATGCTGAGATTCGTCGAACCAAGGCTCGATTGCTTGAGGAAGTCCCTAAGCTGCAGAGATTGGCTCTTAAGAAGGTTAAATTTCTCTTAATAACTTAAATTTTCCAAATTTCTTTAATAATTTATTGTAAATGTTAGCTCGATTAACTATTGATAGATTGGTAATTTTGGTGTCTAAAGCAAGGAGAAGCGACTAATGTACTATTTCGTTTTACAAATTGAGGGGTATTTGGAGTAGTTTATTGTGGGCTTGAGAATTGACCAGTGTGGTCGGTGTGATAACTTTTGGAATTCATTTGCAGGTTAAAGGGATTTCAACAGAAGAGCTGGCTGCTCGTAACGATCTGGTCCTTGCATTGCCAGACAGGATTCAAGCTATACCTGATGGAACTGCTGCTCCTAAACAAACTGGAGGCTGGATGTCTTCAGCACCTTCAGCTTCTCGTAATGAAATTAAGTTTGATTCAGGTGATCCTTAACTTCATTCAAATTGCTTGTTGAGATTGAGATTGTATATAGGTAGGCTTCATGTTAGCTGTGTACAGACCTGTTCCAACTGGTCAGTCTTTAGTTTTTAATCTTTATTTATACCATTTTGATTATAATTGAACAACTGATGCATTGCTATCTTTTTCTCCTATTGTTTGTTGTTGTTGGGAAAGGGGTTTAGAATGGTCCTTTTATTTTTTGGGTGGTGGCTTCCATAATGATGCAATAATGTTGTTTTGTCTTTCAAGTAGCTGATGCAAACATAAGATGAAAAATTGGGAGATAAAAATGTCAAGGCAATGGATCAAGAACAATGACTTGATTAAAAGATAAAAGAGAAGAATTTGGAAGATAAAGATGGAGACATAGAAATAATACTAGGAACCCAACAAAAAGGTGGGGAGAGAGAGAGAGAGAGCATTTGAACACTATCTCAAATAAATTTAAATTTATTATTTTTCTTGGGTTTTTATAGAATAACAACCTAGTGGTATGCCATATAAAAAATTTCGAGCATAGTAAAGGAAGGAGGGTGCTTACTTATGTTCATAAATGCCAAATCACTCCATATTTTTTTATTACCATAGGACTGTTTGTGGTGGCAAAGTTTTCAGTCTTATAGTTTATGTGCACAAGTTATCAGTAACGATTTTTTATGATCTCTGAAACTTTTATGGCTAGGAATCTTAAGCTTTGTTGTACTTTCATATTCATATTGGTCATAGATGGAAGATTTGATAATGAATACTTTCAAGAATCTGAGCAGTCAAGCCAATTCAGGCAGGAGTATGAAATGCGGAGAATGAAGCAGGCAAGTTAAACATGTCCGCATACTGTTTTTATGATCCTTTTTTTTTTTTTCTGATCAGAACTAAGTTTGCATGCCTTGTGATTGCATACACCACATTTCTTTAGCAATGTTTCACTTGTTTGTTTTGACATCCCTACAGGACCAAGGTTTGGATATGATTTCAGAAGGCTTGGATACTTTAAAGAACATGGCTCATGATATGAATGAGGTACTGCTGCCTTGATTGTCATTTGTAACTTTTCATTGATAATGTATTTTTGTCAAGGATTTGTAAGATTCATGCTGGCTACTTAATTGCATCATGTGGTATGTGCAGGAATTGGATAGGCAAGTTCCTTTGATGGATGAAATTGACACCAAGGTGAAGATCATGACAATTATGTTGTTGTACAACTTAGAAACTGCTTAAAGACTACCTATTCACAGTATATATTCTCTTCTTGACACATTTACAGGTGGACAAGGCTGCTGCTGACCTTAAGAATACCAATGTTAGACTTAAAGATACTGTCAATCAGGTGATTAAGTATAACTTCATTAAGTGTAGATTCCCATCCATTTTCCGCTTTGTCAAGTTGTTCACTTCTATGCGAGATCTGACATTAGTTTTTGGTTCTGTTCCAGTTGAGGTCCAGCCGAAATTTCTGTATTGATATCGTCTTGTTGTGCATAGTTCTGGGAATTGCTGCCTATTTATACAAGTGAGCTTCTATGCATGCTTTTTATAAAGAACAAAAAGAAAAAAGAGCACCCTTCATCAAAATTTTCCATCTAATGCTAACTGGCTCACAGTGTTCCTTATTATAGATAGACATACAGTTTAATTTTGATTGAACTGCTTGTACTGTGTGTTTTGGTTGTGTTTCGGTTATGTTTGGTGATAAATTTTGGATTTCTTAAAATGCATTAGGTCAAAACTCTGTTGATGGATTAACTGATTTGTCCTCTTATTTCTTTTGTTATTACCATTGAGAAGTCGTTCTTAAGTGTTCTTCATTTGCAGTGTTCTTAAGAAGTGAAGTGATAAAAGGATGCATCGACGCGTTTCACTTTGATGCTGTCGGCCTTTTTCAGTATGATCTTTCATTTGGAGGATTTGCTCTCGTGCTTGATGTTGTATTTGATTTGTTTCTTATGTGGGAGTCATTGTTCACACTGTTAAAATGTGAGTTTATCTTTCTATACAAAAGTCAAGAACTTCAATCTTTGTATATGATGTAAGTTGCAGAGATTTGATCACATTAGTTTGAGGTGTTTCTTCTGCCTTAATGTCCCTTCTTTACGATACATCATTATAATTCTGCCACATATGCAGACAATTTAAGGATTTGATATTATGACCTAATCTCTCACTGATATACTAATGCTTTGAACCCTCTGCTGTTTGTGCCTTTGGAATCTAATTTCTGTACAGAGATAGAGAGGTAAGTAAGAACGGAAAAACTCTACAGCAGAAAGGGAAATAAATATTGTTGTTAACCCCTGTTAGTTTTGCTAGGTATCACATGAGTTGACTAGTAAGTAATTTAGTCTTATGATATGTTATTGAGGAGGTCATATTCTTACATACATGTCTCATTTAGGTAGAGCTTATCGTAATTCTTGGATTAGAAGAATCGCAGCAAGGGGTAGAGAGAGAGCACATGGTTTTATCATTTATGCTAGGGTGTTGCCGTGTTGCACTGTTTTGTTGTTGGAATAATCTTTTGCCGTGTTGCACATGATTTTCTTTCTTTTTTGTTAATAAGCCTTGTATGCAATTACCAGTTTTCCAACTTGTAGGCATGACTTACGGTCCATTCCTAGTGCATGCTTGGTTCCCTGTATTCGGGAATGTTTCTCTTCATTAGGAGCGGCTCTCTTGTATTCTTGAACGGTAATACTTCAAGAACTGAACATTATTTTTATGCTAACACTTTGTAAATTACATCGACAATGCTTTGACCAAACTAATATCAAAAGATCACAAGAGAGCTCTACTCTGTGCTCTGGTCGTAGCCACTAAGGCATTTATTTGATTTCCCATATGTACTCACAATATTATGTACATGTATACAATATAAATTCCAAACCTTGCAATCACCCTACTAATTTACAGACAAATTCATGATGAAATAGATCACCAAATCTGTCTATCCAGGCCGTACATATCTGCAAACCTCATCATACCGAAAGAACCCTTTGTAATTTATGTACGTAGTTTTTCCACATGCTGTGAAGTTATCTAGCAAGCTTCTGTGAAATCAAGGTGATTAAGCTCTTGATACTGTATGATGGGGTTCCATTGATCTGGACTAAAATCGTTGCCTTCCGAGTGGTCTGTTCCATAAAAGTTGAGGTCACTGTAATCGTTGCTTACCGAGATCACTTCCTCCTTTTCTGTCTCATCCCAGATGAGCTTCTTGCTTGGTGGGACAAAACTTGTGGCCTGGTTATCACCTTCCATGGACGTTCTTTTCGAAGGGTTAAACAGGCTTTCAAGAGGTGAAAATGAAATCTGCAATTTCTTCGTATCAGAATTGGCCTCCTGCGCAGATGTGCGAGATCTGTCACTGCTTTGGAAGCTGATGCTCGAGGTTGTTGTATCAAAGCAAGGAAGGTCTTGAGAGGCAAAAATGTAAGGTAGCATGGGGCAGTCACTGAATAGATAGCTTTCGGCCATCTCAACGTTGGGGTTATTCGCGTTTGAAGGCCATACCTCATTCAATTTTGGGAGATAGCCGTCTGCTGGTTCATGACTTGTAATTTGTCTATCTTCCCATCTGTTCCTTTGCGTGCTGCTCTTTTGCCTCACTCGACAAAGCACCCAATCATCCAACTGTAGCATAAAAGAAAAACAAAATGATTTCCTTATAACCAATTTTGTGTCATCAGATTACCAGTACCATTAGAAAAGATGAATGAAAAGCCATGCATCACCCTTCAGAATTTCAAGGGTTCTGTTTTTTTATCTTATACCAACATATCAGGAATCCTTAGGCCTAGCTATAGCTCTGTCTTGTACTGTTGTTAGCTTCTAAAGCAGGTAATTCCTTGCTACTATTGCTAAACTAATCTTTCATATGCATTATTGAATGTAAGTAGAGGGACCTTGTTTACTCTTGAAAGGAAAAAAGAAGGGGAATTCCAGGCCAATCCGTTCTCTTTTATGATATCAACTCGTATGCAAATTCCAAAACCTAGGCTGAAGAAATATCGAGTAGTACATCAAGCTAACTACGTTCTTACCCTCATGGACCCTTTTCGCTTGGGGGTCCAGATCATGGTTTCACGCAGTCTATACTCGTGCATGATCCACTCTGTCTTGGTTCCTTTGGGAGGACGTCCTTCGTAGAATACCAGAGCTTTCTTCACTCCAATACTCTCCGTTCCGCACGAAGTCAGGATTGGCTTATCTGTCCCCGTCGCCTTCCAATACCCTGAAGCCGCCGCTCTGTTAGGCCTTGCCCCGTTCGGGTACTTCCTGTCTCTTGGTGAGAAAAAATACCATTCATCTTCTCCAAACAAAGCTTTAGCTGTATCAAGAAAAGAAAAAAAGCCAATCTAGATAGAGATAATTAGTAAGTTTACCAGAATCTATACAGTAAAGAACATTGAAACTACAATATTATACAGACATGGAAGCTCCCATGGATTGAACTTGTATAAATCGATCTCAACTATAATAGAAGCTGGGAGAGGACTCGAAGTCACTTTGTTCTTCAAGTAATGGACTATGAGCTCCTCATCCGAAGGGTGGAATCTAAAACCAGGAGGGAGCTGAATCTCTGAGCCAGGTGTCTTCTCCATGTAAGAAGCAGAAGCAGAAGCACCCAACATCGGTCTTGGAGATCAATGAAAAAGAAACCTAGGAATTAATGACTCGCCGATATTTTTGATTCGAAATAGTTGTAAAAATGAGGACAGCACTGTGCAAAGATTATATAGGGTGGTTTCAATCTCCATGCAGATGGGGACATTGTTAACGCTATTAAAATTGGCTCATCTCTTTGATAACCTTATTATAAAGTTTCCCTGAAAGAGATTGGAAAGCTACCAATTTGTCCACACTTCCTCGTGACCCCTGTTTGGAACATAAATTCTTCAATGGACCTGCTATGTCACTTACCCCTCCCTGTATTATTTTAGGAATTAGGTTCGAGACTGTTTGCCAAAACGGTTCAAGTTCACGTCATCTTTCCATTTATATCTAGGCCAAACCTACATCTGATTTCATCACGGTTAGGTGGGGTGATGGCTTTAATTTGGATCTAAAGGCCCCCAAGTATGGGAGCACCTTCTGATTAATTAGTTGTCTGCCAACCTACTTGAATTGGTCTCTTCCTGGAAGAAAAAGAAACTGTTGGCACATTTTAGAAGTCTTATTTTGTTTCAATAAATGTAGTCTTAAAATTAAATCACATTCGGAATCATATAAATTATTTCATCTTATAATAAAAAAATTCAATTAGATGAAATAAAAATTCGTACATTTTAAGTTTAATCTTAATATTATAAAATGATATAAATATTTAAATTTATTCATAAAAATTTTTTTTGTCGTTGTCTAATTAGATTTTGATGGGGTCTTTATGATATGATTGGAATTCGGGGATCGATAGCTACAATAATCTCCATCGGTCATTGCCAATTAGAGCCAGCTAGCCTGCATGGCATATAGTCATGGAAAACATAATGTAACAGCCAAGACCCAGATGTGAGAATAACCAACTTGATCTTATGACGGTTGGTCCAAACAACCTGTTTGTCTTAGCTTGTGAGGATTTTAGCCGTTTAGCTGAAGCAAATAAATTAATAACAAAAAGAAAATATACTATAGATTGGTAGGAAACAAGCGTTTGACAATCAATTGGGCGATGATTGGAGGCTAATAGAGAAAGCAAAAAGAAAGAAAAGGGTACAAATCTTTTGCCGTAAGGAATCCAAAAATTGAATGTTATATATGACAAGAGAGCATTTGGCAAGTGGGCTGGCAAAAAGATTTCGCAATATTTCTGCTTCTGAGCAGGAGATATATACATACATACATATATATATATATATATATATGTATATTACATATGAAGAACAAAGAGTGATTTGCAAACTTAGATAAGCGAGAATAGGTCCAAACAAAAGTCGGTTTTGATAGTCTAACCAATCTATGATGATGAGATGTTGTTCGTGTTACAGGGAAATTTGCTGAAAAAGGAGTGTCGGTTAGGAGAGGCCCATGACCAGAATGATTGTCGCCTTAAATTATTTTTTAGCAATTATACACTATTCCTATTGCTTACACTCCATGTTGTCTTTTGAGTGTCTTTTTTCTCCCTTGACATCCACTGCTAGCTAGCATTAACATATATATGCCTAGAACCAGCTCCTGTCTTGGCTCTTCTTCAGCAACATCCCCTAATCATTGGCTTTTCTTCAGCGGATTACTAGTTAAAATGATTAATCTTTTGGTGAGGATCTCGTTTTAAGATTCAATTATGTCTGTCGTCTCTTGGACTTACTTATGTAGATAGAAAGGTTCTTAAAGCTGACTAATCAAAGCATTTTGGGAAAAAGACCCAGCACTTAACATTGTGTAATGTTGTGCCTTAGCTATGTTATATACTATATATATATATATTCATTCCCCTTCTAAACCCTTAATTACTATCTTACAGTTTTAAGTGGAAATTTCGATTTTTATGGTTTGAAAGTTTGTTTTGAATATTTCGATTTTAATCTTTGAGATGTAGAGAATGGCGTTTATAATATCAGATAAAAATATCTTTTGATATGTAGTTTCTACTGACGTGAAAGTGAAGTAAACTCTTAGAAATGTGAAGTGAATAAAAATGGAAGAGAAAGTAACATTATTCATAATACAAGCATGATGGAAATGATTGAAGTAAAAAAAAAAACCCTAACTGGCTGACAAGTTCAGTGTGGTCTCTAGAGGAACCAAGGTACAATTACTAGAACGTAGAGAGAAAACACAACCACAGAAATATGGGATATAGAATCTAGAGATGGGGGTGTTGTTTGGGCTCTCTAGACTTACTTGCCCATACGCTTTGCTTTATCAGTGCAAAGCTCCAAGAAACAGAACATAAGAACTAGTGGGAAAGGGGGACATAATAAGGCCAACTTGATACCAGGGATTCGATTGCATGTAATCTTCTGCTTGGAAATTCTCTGTTTACCAATTTTTCTTTTGTCCACCCCAAAGTCTCTTTCAACATCACTCCATGCCCATCCTTTTTCCATTCAACGACTAATTGCACGGATGTTGATCTCTTCTTTGAATTTCTGAGAAAGAGAGAGAAAATTCAATTCAATTCAATTCATCAGCGTTGCTATTAAATATCCCCCTCCCCTCCTTCGAAAAATACAAAAATATGGGCACCAAACTTTGAGTTTGTGGGGCAACTGACTGAGTGTGAATACTTAGTATACAGTTCTGCTTATTAGTTATTGTAATTCGTATGCTCCAAGACAAAACTTTCTGGTAAATAAACCTTGGTAACATCGAGGTTTCCCTTTCATCTTTATGGACAAGAAACGTTGAATTCTAGGAGTATGCTGTTGCTTGCTTCTTTGGAATTTCTGCCTATTAGAGTTCTCATTTTTCTTCCCTCAATCAAATTTGATTACTTTATTATCATAGAAATTGATATAAAATCTCAACTACAATGAAAAGTATGGTCAAAACAGATTATATAAATAAAAACCCATAAAAATTCTGTCGACATAAACACGATTAAAAGTAAATTTGCATTACAAACCGTATTATCACAAAATGAACACTTTTAATGAAAAATTAACAAAAAATGAAATTGGTAATCTACTTATACAAGAATAGAAGGGAACTGATCATGATCATTTTCAAAGGTCCCATGTGCAAGAAGATCTTCTTGTTCTCTTAGAAGATAACTGAGACATGACTTTAGTTGTAGTAGTTATTTCTTATCCAAATAATTACAATGATTTAGCAAAAACTTTGGCATGCACCGACAGCTCCAAGCCAATTTGGTCGTTGCTATCAACAAACAAGCAACAAAGAACTAAAGGGCATGAGATATATGGAGCTGAAAATAATAGTAATAGAAAAGATCAAAACAGTAGTAAATTTATAATCTGATTTCTCTAGACAATTAGCACTGAAAAATTTTGACTTCAGCTTGTGGAAATGGAGGGAGTGAACAATCACGTGAGTCACACACAAAGGGGTCCTGGAGGTTGGGCCAATGTCTCAAACTCAGCATTGATTTTTGCCTCACTGTGGGGCTTGGAGTGAGAGTGTATTGGGGAGGAAAATGGGAAAGGAAAATAACATTATTTCCTCGATGCATTTGGTAAGAAAGAAAAAAGAAATAGAAAAAAAAATGTGGGATTTACAATTAATTTCCAGAAATCATAAGAGTCAATCATTTGGAGATATATATGGGGATGGAGAAGGAGAAGAAACAGACTCAGATCCATAGTTTCCTCATTTTTGTCATCCTTCATATAAATAAATAGACATACGGGTAGGGAAGAAATAACTATATGAGGAAAAATGTATTGAGTCTTAACGACATGAAATTAATGAAGTACGTTAAGAATAGATAGAAGACAGTTTTAACATTTGTGAATTCATCCAGTTCATAGGTCAATTTTCTTTTTTTCCTTTTCTATGATTGTTGGCCAATAAAATCACAAACAAAAAAAAAAAACAGCTATTCAATCTTCAAAAGAAGATATGATATACTGTGTTTGTAATAGTACAGACATTCAATATTAACATGGACAAAAAATCAACCAGAAGACTTAACCTAATTAAAATCATTCTGAAAGAGAACCATTACCGGATTGAATGAGACTTATCGGCGTTTTTTTTTATTTTAATGTTATTTTTTTTTTATTAGCATTAGGTAGAATAATCTGATAATCAATGGTGAATTGAAATAATTTATTGAAAGTAGTGGATTGTTCGGGTTTCGGGTCTGAGGGTGTCGGGCTGGACGCGGGTTTTGCTGCAACGTGTCTGCCCACCACCACGTACCGGGAGGGGTGATTTCTCGGTGCCGTCCCTTAGTCGCTCTTCACACTTAGATGTGTTGGTGTCCTATTAGATATGTCTGCCGTCTTTGACTCGGCGATATCGGGAGTGAGGCTCGGGAGTGAAATACCTGTCCACTCCTTTTTCAAACCTGAAAGCAGCCTCCACATTAGACAGTAAGGACAGGCACCATGTGGGCTATTACATCCAAGGAGGGCAGGGGCACTGTGTTAGTTGTGCGCTTTTAACATTTTCTAACACAATAATACTTTGTGTTGGCTATAAACTAAACTTTGTTTTGAGAATTCCCACTAAAATATATTAAAAAAGAATAAAAAAATCATTCTTGTGTGACTCACGGCTCACTGAGTAACCTTCCACACCTTTGATATTTATAGTAAATCATTATTTTATGATACGTTTGATTTACGGAAATAGATAAAAATGAAATAAATCTTAAGCAAGGTAATTAGAACGATTCATCCACTCTCACAGCAGACGGCAAGGCTAAACATTATGTCCTACCACATATACCTTCATCAAACAAATAAGGGGAAAATTATGCCATATAACCCACAAGTTCAGCGTGTAGGTACCGACCAACATAATATCTAAACGACTATGTCAGTGCTACTGCCATAGTGATATACAGACAAGCTAGGAGGATTTCGTGCCGAGAGTAGTAGCTTACAGTTTTAATCTAGGCCTATGGCTTTGCAAGTATTCACGTTGAGTATTTACTGGGAAATAGAGAGATTTTCAAAGGTAATCGCCGACAAAACCAGCAGCCCTCACAGAGAGAGTTCTCGAGGCTTTGTATGAATATACTTCCGTACAGGGAGTATACCCGATAGAGTACATCTGTACGAGCAGTCGTCCATGAGAAATGTAAGTATACTGACCGAAATTGGGATCGTAAGAGTATCCCGTCAATGTAAATAAGTCCTGTGATTTATGTTCACGAGCGTTTTGAGATTTAAGGTACGGTGGTCTCAACTTAGATGTTGCAGTAAAGACAGTCATGCCACAAATTCGGGATTGCAACTTTTCAATGATTCCTATTATTCTTTCTTCAGGTACATATTTAACAATCAAGAACAAGAAGAGTACTGATCGTCCCGCAATATCAGTCCCCATCGCCCTATATCAATAGTCAAATTACATATAAAAATAAACGGTGTCATCACACTGTATCTGAATGAGGACTTATATAAAGAGGATATAGTAATGTGGACCAATTGTGTTTTGATTGATTAAATCATGATAATTTGCGGCACATTCTCGTCTAGAGATGTCATCAGTAGATATCATGATTGGTGCACCTAAATCTTATATCGTAGCTTAATGTATGGAAATGCAGGCTCTGTCAGGTTTATACTAGGGACGTTTTAATGAAGCAAGAGTAAAAAAGCTGTGTGCGAGCTAGAGTGTTGATGCAGAACACGGCTGCTAATGATTCAACTAAATTTAGAAGTAATTGGATCGCTGGTAACGAGCTCTAAACAAGGATTGACAGAAATCCCAAATTTCGCATCGCCACGTGGAGCCACGCAGACGGTGTGGATTAATAGGGCGTGGATCGATGTACTCCGAGACAATATCCGTTCGTCTACTATAGCGAAGTCCACTAAGACATAATTAGTGGGACGAGTGCTGTGAGCGTAATATCCTGTATAACAACGATATGAAGGCATCAAGGGCAACAAACCATCCATAATTTATTTTCTCTTCAATCTTAGGGATTTATAGGGCAATTGAAAATCAATCTAAGCAAAAAAACAAAACAAAAAACAAAACAAAACAAGGCATTTCATGGAACATCTATTGTTTTTTTTTTTAAATAAAAATAAAAAAGAAAACAAAATCTATGAGATGTCCTGTATTTAAATAGTTTAATTCTAGCTAGGTTACCAAACAGGGTCTTCGGAAGAAATAATAAAGTAAGACATAGGGCATTAGCCTAAATACATAGAGGGACAGAGATTGGAGATCTATGCAATGGATGAATGTGAAGGATGTCGTTTCTGGTCGGACACATTATACTTATAATATAAACTCATTCCCCCTCCCCTTATTATTTCCATCATCTGAGAATTTTAGGGTTTTTTAGATATTTGCAAAAAACGAACACATGGGACATGGGATTTTGTGTGTGTCCCTACGTTTGCATGTGTCTCTTACTTCTATTTTTGAAACAAAAGAGCATAGGATACCAAGGAAAGAGGGGGCATCCTTTTCTTTGGAAGGAAGCTCCGAATGCATGGAGCCAAAAGCAGTTCAATTATCTATTGCCTTCAAACTTTGAATTATACATATCTCCCTATATATGTCTTGTGTATTCTTTTTCCATCTAATACATCCATCCAATTATATATAATGTAGAGAACAAGAGGGTGGTGTCTGCTCAAAGTCAGCTTGGATAAAGACATCGCCACATGACAGGAGCTCTCTTGACGTGGACCTACTGTAAAAACGTGTTTGAGTGGAACAGTTGGATCCATATATATATATATATATATATATATTTTTCAATTAATTAAGTTATACATCTTAGGCTTCTTGCATCAATGGTGAACGACACAGCTTGTCGTCTCCATATCGAGCAGTGCCCACAACATAAATACTAAGTCTGATTTATGGTATGGGGAGAAAGCAAAGAGCAGAGGAGAAGACAGCTAGCTTTACATACCCAAAAATCTTGGTAATTATATCCTGTTCGATGTCATGCAATTAACATCGCGCGAATAGATACAGATGTGACAAGGAAGAAAAAATTGACTTGAAGAGGCATCGATGCATGAAAGAGGGTCAGAAGTCGATTCAGTCTGCGTAACAAAATTCAAAAAACATTCATGATCGTAACGGGTAGGACAAACTATAGAATTAATAACTAGCTACCACACACACGTTTTTCACCATGGCAGCTGGGCATGCATGCTTTTGAAATAGTTAGGAAGAAAAAGTCCATCCTAATATCCTACGCCATCGCCACCGTCTTTGGTGTGAGAAGCAATGGAAAAGGAAATCACAGGGTTTAGAAATTAAGGGCCAAGCACATACAATACTTTAGTGTAGAGTGGTATAATGGTCTCCCACTCTAGTAGCTTTTCACAAATACAAGTTTCAAGTCACGATTTCCTAACTAATTTTAATAACAATTTTATAATATACCTTGTTATATATTTTATGATTTTACACTTTATAGTGATCAATTATAATTCATCGGATCATCAAAATTATTATGTTTACTAAAACTTATTTTGAAAAATCTCGATGAATTGGTTAGGGTATACATAAAACTATACACTATATGGTAATTAAGTATAAATATATGTATACTTTTGTTATTAGAAACATAAAAACAACTCCACGAGTCTTCTGTCTATTAGTGTTAAGGTTAAAGATTTGAATCAGTATAATGTATTCTTTGTCAATTATTATTATATGGCATACTTTTTTTTAAAAAAAAAAAAAAAACCTATAGAAAATTGGATTTATCAACTTTCATATAGAGTTAAATATACCAAATTAAGCAGCCAAACTTCATTAAATTTGAATCAATTTTGCTTTTTTTTCTTATCAATAGGAGAGTGCTAATACCTACTTTTGGTTTCAAAAAAAAGTAAGCACACATTGTATTAGTAGGGGTATATTTTTATTAATTGACCAGAAATAATTAACAAAAGCACATAAAGATGGCAGAAGTAAAGGGTTTTTGGCACACTAGGTATTCAAGTGAAGATGGTAGCACAACATATAATATATGGCATCTTAGATTAAATTTTTCATGGTAATTAATTAATTAATTAGAATAATTTTATTAATATATATTTATAATATTACAATATTTAATCTGCTATAACGTGAGAAGTTCTTGTCATGGCAATAACACATCCCACATGTGATTCTCGCATTTTGGGACCCTCAACTATTACACCCATTTCTGGGAATTCAGTCAGAGAGTCATAGAATTTGATCATCAACTTATATACCAGCTTATCAATATGAAAATGAAATTGGTCCAGCCCCTTTGAATTCTGAGAAGCAGCAGGTTCGGATAATTAATTGAATTCAAACTCAAATCGAACTGACTAGCCTAATTAATTATGATCAAACTGCCACATTTCAACAATTTTTTAACTTAATTTGAATGGAGGATGCCTATCACAAGTTATGGCTTGAATAAACAATCAATCTATAGACTTCACGCCATTTATCTCATCTTTGCTATCCTTACACCAGTAGGAAACTAACTTACAGAACTATTTTATAGAGGTTTAGAAGAATTTATGAATTTACTTAGTTCTAGCTGCAACCCATTTGGTGGAATAATCTGGATTATTTCATTATTGTCGGAGATCTCACCACTATCAAGGACAGAAAGATCAAATTTTGAGAAAGTAACATGGTGTCATATAGATAGAGACAATACCACAGATTTTCTGTTCAATTTCCCTTTTCCCTGTTGCAATTCCTGTATGTAATAGGCAGGTTTTACCATTAAGCTAAATGAAGACAGCAATGACTAGCTAATATAATTGTACAAGTTATGATTCTCCAATTGAAATGAATATGTACACCTATACTCTATTTTAACCTGTATTTCTCATGCATCATTTGACATCAACCAATCAACAACAAATTGAATAAGGGTTTCTCAAATTGTGAGTGATTTGGCCCAAAGAACACTTGAACAATGAAAACCAACCAAAAGAAAAACAATTAAAAAAAAAACTCAGACTGTTGCAGTAAAAATGTTTTAGTACAAGTAGACTTTTGTTGTGTGAGTGGAGAGTATCATCATCAACATCAGTAACATAACAAGGACAAGTACATATCACTGGCAACATGCACTCAATACTTTTTGGGATGATGGAGGAGGGTGCAGCATCAGAATCACAGTCCAAATCTGGGTCCCTCTTCCAGACAGGTATCACGGACCGTCCTATCACCTCTCTCTCTCTTTCTCTCGGGAACCCCAACTCTCTCTCAGCACTCAGGCTCAGCTCACTTACCACCCTTTCTCTCTCTCTATCACATTTTGCTTTATGCTCTCTCTCCTCCGCCCCTGCAACCTCTTCCTAAATTTGGTCTTACTTTTAATTATGGTTTAATCATTTCATACCTGATCAAAATTGCTGTAAAGGCGACGCACTTTTTAGCGAAGTCGCCTCCCCTTTCCTGGACTCAAATCACTAAATAAAACAGACAAACACCAATCAAAATAAAAAAAGAAAAAAA